TTGGACCCTATCAATCTGACATCTCACCCTGTCAGTCTACCTCCCCCATTCTTCAGTTCCCCAAATATGCATCCCGCCCCTTTCGTGGGTGCCTCCTCGTCAGGGCCCGCTGCCTACCCCAAAGGCAGAAGCAGCTCTTGCTCACCTCTTTGAGCTCAAAACCTTTCCCCGTCCTCACTAGATAGTTTTTCACTCACTATACTGTTAATTCTTTGAGCTTTTTAAAAAAATTTTTTTAATTTAATCCAGTTCTGTAGTTGTTTTTGTCACCTTCAGAGGAAATGCTGGTCAGAAAAATTCAGATTTGGTCTGGCCTTTACAGTGTTCCTCAAAGAATAGTTTGCAGATGGGTTCCAATCTACCAACTGTTACCAGTCTATACCAAGGTAAGTACAGAAATTGAGAGCAAACATTTAGAAGCTGTTAGAGCAATTTGACATTGCTGTGAAATCATAGCATATACTTTTGTATTTTATAAAAGAACCAATTCATAACATACCTGAGGGGGGAAAAAACTGGTCCTTCACCACAGTTAAGTTGAGAAGCACTTCTTCATACAATCAAGTGTGAGTCTGCATACTACAAGCCCCCTCTTTTTCTGCTTTTACTGAAAATACATTGTAGAAGAGGAAAAAACCTTTACCCTCTTTAGGTCAAGTGACTAGGTCTGTGAATTAAACTGACCAACACCAGACTAACAGGAGAAAAGATTTATTTTGTCTGTACACGGCAGGACCAGTGGGGTTGGGGGGCAGCCTCACAGGGAAAAAAAGTGAAAACCACAAAAAGGTAGTTAGACCCAGACACTTAATATACCATTTTAACAAAGAGTAATAAAGTATGAAGAGACTAGACAAGGGAAGAGGGGGGAGTTTGGGTGTCTCAGGTTGGAGCTAAGTTGTGGGAAGGCGACTAAGAAATGTATGGTAAATAAGAGTTGTTTAGTAAAATTTGTTATACAGATCAGAATAGTTGTCTTCCTAGTATGTGAGAGGGGAACACCTTTACAAAGGGACATTTAAACCCTGTTTTTAGGCAGAGTGGAGGAGAGGAGAGAGTTCTTCCTGTTGTTCCTGTTCCTGCTGTTTTTCAGTTCCCTTCAGCTCAAAATCATCCTATGCCAAAGTAGCATATTTTGGGGTGGCATATTCTGATCCCTTCCACATACGACCAGCCACACATTGTGCCCCTAGACCTGTGATCTATTTTATTGGGCATATTTGTTTGGATTTTTTTAATTATAGAAGTAGTGTATGTTTAAAATTTTTTAAATTCAGACAGACGAAAGGAAGGGACAGCTAAGATCATTCATGATCCCACCACTTTTTACAAGTCAGAGTAAACCTCTCTACATATAGGATAGAAGCGTTCCCCATACCCTTCTAAAGCAGGGTTTCTTCTCCCTCTTATTTTACTCCCTTGGAATATAACCAAGCAAGGAGATTTAGAACACACTCTTTGAAGCTTTGCAGCCCAAGGCTTAAAACACCTTAAGATGGGAAGGAAAGAGAAAAGCAATAAAAGAAGCCTTAAACTTGTTATTAGAAGAATTATCAAATAAAAATTATCAAAGGTTTGTGGCATCAAACTTTTTGTTCAAAGTTGTTATATCCGGATTATATTATGAATATATTTTAAATTTCGGTGATGAGTAAAATGTGTGTGAATAGTATTTTTAGTTTCTCCGTATCTCATAAAATTTAAAACTGATGAATTGCCTCTTTTACTTTAATATCAGTGATAGAAATAACTGATCAAACAGCTTAATAGAAGATTTTTTTCATAGTGATGGCTGACTTTCAGACTAGCTCCTCAAAGAACATGCCTGCATATTTTAAAAAGTTATACAGGTGATTTTGTTTGGTACCTTGGTTATGAACCATTGTATTAAAAAACGTACAGTGGCCAAAAAGATCCCATTTATAAGAGCAACTAAAAGTGTCCTAGGGGAAAAACCCCAGTAATCAATATTTGGAGCCAATATGAAGAAAACCTTAAAACTGCAACTTAGAGACATGAAAGAAAATAGTATATCATGTTCATAGGTGAGAATATGAGAAAAATGTTAATTTCTAGAAGTTAATATATAAATATAATACTGTCTCCACCAAAATATTAAAAATGTTTAGCATTTGACAAACTAATTTTAAAGTTCAGCGGGGAGAAAAAATTCATAAGAAAATATTGACTAAGAATAATAGTGAAATGACTTATTTGTCCAAATATTAAAATACACTATTACAGGGACTCCTGGCTGGCTCAGTCAGTAGAACATGCAACTCTTGATCTCAGGGTCATGTGTTCAAGCCCTGTGTTGGGCATGGAGGTTACCTAAAAAAAAAATTAAAATAAAAAAACATTATTACAGTAAAAAAAAAATGGTATGGTACTAGATACAAGAATAGATGGGTCAGTGGGAAAGAGTAGAAACCTGAAACTACGTGTGTCTGGGCATGTGTAGATACTATCATTTCAAATAGTATTTCAGAGAATGACCAGGGAAAAAAATGGGCTGATCCATGCTGGTAATTATATTACAGGGCATTAAGTAATTTCCAGTTGTTTCTCACTGACTGGTTCCTCCTTTAGGCATTGGCCTCTCACCACTTGACTACCTTCTACCCCTAAGACTCCTTTTTTCCCCTCTTACAGGTCCCTCCAAAAAATCTTCCTCCAGCTCTCAGGAGGGCTCCCAGACTCTTACTGCTTGGTGGTACAATCAGTTCACCTCTCCTTTGCCTAACTCTTCTCTCATCTGAGCTGAACAGTGCTCATCCTCACATTTCACAATTAAAAAGGAAACCGCCTAAGCAAAAACTATAATTCCATCACTGTCAGGGGTGTTTTAGTGCTCCTAGATGAAGCAACCAGCTTAAACTGCAGCCTGCTTTAAAAATAGGATTTTTTCCCCTCCCCCCAGTACAAAGAAATGAAAAGTATTCACCCTCTGGTAATCAAGGAAATGCAAATTAAAGCAATTGTGACTTTTTTCCCCTTCTATCTGGCAAAGATTCAAAAGGAATAGTCATCCTAGTGGAGGTGAGGTGGAGAGGAAAGGACACTTCCACAATTAGTGGGGGCAGGAATACTATGTTAACTTTTCACCAGGAGTGTATCAGAAGTGTTATCGTATGTGCCCCTTGACATATAAGACAAGTACAACTCCGCTTATAGGACTTTTACTCTAACAGGTGATCAGGATTGTTCACGAGATGTGTGAGCATGTTCATTCAGGCTTTATTTCTGATGGTGGAAAATGGTCACCACCATTCTTCAGAGTAGACTAAGCCATCACGAAGATCATTTTATGCAGAAGAATCTTATTTGACATTGGAAGATGTTCATTAGCTGTGAATTGGAAACCAGGCAAATGTTGTAAAGCCTTGTATAAATGTGACAGTATTTTCATTTATCTAAAACCACACCAAGTTTTAAATAATAGTCAATTATTCATTAATATTTACTGTGTGCTTAGTCTTCTGCTGGGTATCGGGTGAGAGTATTTTGAAAGTATAAAACATACTCGTTCTTTAGGGCTCTACACTATTATTGAACTGTTGAGCTTGAATATGTGCATTTGCTCCTTGCACACCCAGCAGGTGTAGCTGTAGATAATGGGAAGAGCATTGAATATAGATACAGATTTGAATCCTGTCCCTGTCACATACTTGTCTACTTAGACAAATTATTTGAGAATGAGAAGGATGCTGACGTCATGGGGTGACTGTAAGAATGGAGATATAACAAGGAATGTTTCCCAGTGATGCTTGGTGAATAATATTAGTAATGATGATTTATTACTAATGCCTAATTACTAATTATAGTAATAGTAATGAATAGTTTTTCTACTTTCCCTTCTAGAAGTCTCTATCTTTTCAGGGTAATACCTATAGCAGGTATACTGCAGTGTGAGCTCCTGAATAAGTGAATGAGTAAAATACTGGATTTGAAAACATTTCATAAGCCTGAAAGCATTATGAAGTTGTTGGCTAACTATTAGTATTTGAATAATTTCATTAATAGATATAATCTGGCAAAGTTTCATATATATGTATGTAAATGCTAAATGTGTGTAAGTGCCAAATACTATGATATGGGCATATAGGGTTGTTATAGAATTTAAGCAAATGAAAGCCTTAATGTGGCTGGTAATCCACTGAGGGGACTCTCTGGGAAGGGTGGGATTGGAATGGGACCTTGGATTAAGGTAGGTTTTGAATATGAAGAGCAATATACGAAGAAGCATGTGACAAAAAAGGAAACAGTGTGTTCAGGGAATAGTAATAAGTCTAGCCTGCACAGAGAGTGAGGTATCCTTGAAGAGCCATTAGATAGGATAGGTGGAAGAGGCAAGGGGGGGCCGACACAACAGAGGCCTTACCGATCTGCTGAGAAATAGAAAAGAACTATTTTTAAGTTTGGGGCAAGATAGTACCATTCCGCCACCAACACATCAGGGTGTTAGAATATGTTTGTAGCAATTGACTTTGGTAATTGAAGTATAAGCAAAAATAAATTATGATTTAGCTACTTTTTTTCCCCTCAACAGTATATAGCCTGAATTCCCATTTAGCGGTGATAAGTATAGTGAAATATTTTAGAATCCTTGTTGGATTCTTAAAATATTACACAACGTGACTAGGTACCGATAATTTTGGAACTTGACTCAAAAATATGCTCACAACCCCCAGCATTGCCCTTTTCTGAGATTTTTTGTTACGATAACTTAAAGGAAATTTATGGTCAATTTTCTACAGCTTACATTATTTGATGCTACCATTTGCTTGTTCTTTGTATTTCTTTCCATGTAGATTTTCGGTGTTCAGATGGTTATAACATCCTTTATAATTTGTCTATTTTTCGTTGAAAGAAAGGAGATTTAAATAACTTATTAGAATCATTAGCTGTAAGCCAACTAATAACTTCATTACAACGTATTCATTTTCAGTGTTTTCTTCCTGGAATTTCCTCTTAACATTCTTTTTCACGTTTCTCCACAGTATGGATGGAGCAGATCTGTGTTTTGAAATCGTAAAGCGAGCTGATGCTGGTTTTGTATACAGTGAAGCTGTAGCCAGGTACGTCATTCGTATGGACTCCTCAGAGGTCAAGGTGGAAATAAAAGAAGGAAATGACAAATGACACGAAGTGACCTGCCTTCTTGAACTGATGATGAGCATACTGCCACTCTTGCCTACAAGGAGCCATGTCTGTTTTAGTGTGTGTTAGTGGAACCGAAGTAGCGACTGGAAATGCAAGATATGGAACAATGCATTTATCTATTAATACGGGTTTACAGCTTAACATAGTACTGCTGTCTTTCCCATTTCTGATGACTTTTGTTCAAAGAGGAATTTGATAGCTCAAGAACTATGAAGAATCAAATTTGGGGTTTTTTTGTGTGTTCGATCTTTATTTTGGGCAGATGTGTCTTATTAGTTCTTCATTTGCCTTTTAGTGATAGCAAACTGTTATGTGGCCAATTAATCTGACAAAATGCACAGAACAGTAGAAGCACAGTTTTCCTGCTAAAAATATTTGCTTCAGGCCAGTGTGTGATTCCCAAGCGAATGGTGGCCATTGTTCTAAGTCAAGTTGTTGTAAGGAACTAATGGCTCAAAATAAGGAGTAAAGTTGAAAAATTACAGGAGACATGCACAGGCCACTTGCTTATAGATTTAGAGCAATATAGCTTTCTGCTTTGGTGGCATTCAATCGTATCATAAACACCCACTTCAGTGGGTTGCCTTTTTAATACATGGGGTCTCCTCAGTCACCAACCATAATATGTCGAAGGATTCAAACCCGCAACTCTAGTGGGGTTTTTTTTTAATCCCATTTTTCTATTAGTTTTGACTTTGTGTTACAATTTAAAATTTTTATTCTGTATTGTGCTTCAGAATTTAAAAGCATTCTTTAATACCAAAATAGTCAATGCTGTCTTGATTTTTCTTATGATACAGTGGTAAACCACTTTATCCAACTAAATTAAACTGTCAGACCCTTGTGCATTTTTGTTCATATTTACTTCTTCAAGAATTTGAGGCTACCTGCCTTTTGAACTTTCCCACATTGATCTCTTTCAACAACAACATCATCAAATAGGGAAAACTAAAAATTCTGGATGTTGATTTTTATAGAACAGTGAAGCTTGAGGAAGGAAGGAGGACTTTTTTCCTTTTGAACCACAATAACGCTTGGGTACTTGGTGCATGTGCTGTTGGGGTTGATGTTAAAGCAGTACCACTTTTACTCTGTTCCCCACTTGTCTGTATGGCTTTTCCTCAACTTTGAGCCTGTCTGTGCCACTGGCCTGGGCATCAGGATAGGGAGAATAGTCACATGTAGAGGTGATACCATACAGTGAAACGAAAGAAGCTTTCCAGAATGGTCCAGTAAAGCATAGCCTCAGGACCAGTCGGCAACACTGCAGAGAGAGAAATTTGGCACAATTTATTAAAGGCCCTTCCTAAAAAATGACAAAAGGCAGGGAGGGGCATCCTCAGAAAGTAGTATTAGGTATGTACCTTTTTGCAGAGGATCAGTGACCATACAAGAAGGGCATGTAGAGCCTTCCTTGGGCTGTAGAGCATTCAACCAGATGACTTCCAACCTGCCCTCCTCCTCCTCTGATTCTGTGATTCATCGTTGGGAAATTTAGCTTGCATCAGTATTCTAGTGAGATCAACTGCAAGAAGACTCCGAGGCACCAAATAATCAAATTGATAATGTTTTTCTCCAACTAGCTGAGCTTCAAGAGAAGCAGCAAAGCATGGCATAAAATAAAACTGCATACAGTCCTTACACCCAATTAGTGATTACCTCTGTTCTTTCAGGGGCGATGAGTTGTGGAGTGTGCTAACATACACAATCAGATTATCAAATCAGACAGTTACAAATCAGAGCGGTCTTCTTACCTATACCAAGCTTTACTAAATAATTACAGGGATACAGGCAATCAAAAGGCTCAGCTGAAACAGAGAGGTCTGGGTTATCAAGGGCAGCTTCCCACATCAGAAATGCTCCTGTGGCCCAGAGTAGATGAGGTCTCTACATGAGGTTTGTGGGATCCCACACACGGAGGGGAGCATTGCAGTTGCAAGATGTCTCCATTGTATGCCTCAAGGAGTTGTATAGCTTCCATGACCTACTCCAGGAAGCCAGCCATACCTCAAAGATCCTAGATTCTATTTACCATAGGTAATTCTTAGCCCAGGACATCTCTTAAGAACATTTCAGAGAAGGTCTCTTCTGCCTAGCAAGAGTGTTAATTTCTTTACCTAGAATCTCCTCCCCTCTTTTCTTCCACCACCCCAGAAATGCAGGCTTCCATAGGAAGTGAATGGATTGCAGGCCTCAGTTCTTTCCTTCCACTGAGTTGTCCTCATTCTTGATCCTTACAGGAGATAGAGACAAACTTATATATTGCAAAGTTTCTCTGAAAGTATAGGCCACCATGATGATTCATGAAAATGAAGTTTTCTAATTAAAGTTTAGGCAGCAATTCTAGGCAGTGTGGGTGGATTTTTGCTCCTCTCTTTGTTCTGCTTGCACACTGTTCCCAGGCACAGCCTCCCAGAGTCATGACTGGGAGGGTGGAGAAAGATCACTTTAAATCTATAATATCTGGGGAGAAAAAAATTATATCCTCACCCGACACACTCGAGAGATTCTGGTATGCATATATATTTGGGTCAAATAATTGAGTACTCTGATAATTAGATTAAAAATGCTCATTCATTGAGGTTTTTTTTCTTAATGAGGCTTTGAGATAGGAGTTTTCTTCAGGCTAAAGACATGTAAGTGGCTGTCTTAGTACTATGTATCCAAAGCAGTCCATACTGTAGGTATAAGCTATGTCCACGTTACCTAATTTAAACTTACCCACTATTCTGATGTTCATATCTAGATGCACAAATAGGCTGTTCCTAAACCTTTGACTAAACTTAACAATAATAATATTGTAATAATAATAACTTACCCTTTGTAGCATGGTTTAGCATTTACAAAGCACTTTCACATTTGTCTCTGCCATTTCAGGGGGCCACGTAGCCTTCAAAGCCTGATTTGAGCCAGGAAAGGGCCAAGTTAAGATCCCGTAACTTAAATTTAATTATAGGCTGCGCAGGCCCAGGCAAAGAGTATATGACCACAGCCCCTTTTGTGTGCATTTGCAAAGTAAGAAAAAATTGACACGACGACTAAGGACAGCATGAGCCAAGTTCTCTGCTTTAGAGCCTAGGGGTGGGGAGACAATGATAAGTATAGGAACAACATATGGGGTTGATTTGGGTTTTTTTCCTACCTTTCATTTAAGAAATGGAACCTTCTGATCAATTGTAGTACATGAAGTAATGCACATGCCAAGGAGAGGGACATTCATGTGAGTTTTGATAGTAATGTACCCAAGAGGGAACTTCATGGAAATGCGTCTTAGTTGTATCGCAGGAGTGGGGAATTTTTTTTTTTTTTTTTTTTTGAATCACAAGGATACACACAAGGGCATTTGAAAGCACTGGTAAATTATTTCATTTTTATTTAAAGTGTAAGGCGTAGAAGAGCTAGAAAGATAAAATTCAATAAATACTATACAATAAATAATGTTGCATATGTTGCATTTCTATGTCATGGCTGGTTGGGAGGGAAAAGGGGAAAATGAAAAAGGACGGGGGATCGTCGGAAAACAAGAAAGAGATGAAGGGAATAAAATAGAGGGGAAGAGAGGGTAAGACGACACTCAACAGAGAGAAATAGCAGAATTAGAGGAAGAAGAACTTGAGAATTAACAGACAGAGGGAAGTCAAAGTAAGCTCTGAAGTAATACTGGATACACGTCTCACTCTCGTCACACCCTGTTGCTAGTTGACCCTGTTAGCAATTTTTAAGGACTGTTCTTTAAAATGCTGATTCCTCCTGTGTTTTTCACCTGGACCTGGTTGGGGGGGGGGGTGCGGGGAGAACCTCTGCAGCCCCCTGCTGGCCACATGATGAGTCCGACTTCCTAGGATTTCCGCCCAGAACAACTCTGCTTTTGTTAAAAGATGCCCCAGCTAAAACTTGATTACATCACAAAAAGAAATTGTACACATAAAGAGGTTCTTTCCTATTGTTTGTCCTCAAAGCTAAATGGAAATAAGGCAGAGAGCCAGCCTCTGCTGGCAGATAAAAGACTGCCACTCCTTTAGTCAGAATCCATGGTGTCCCTCTGAGCACTGTTCACTTAATAGCAATCCGCGGTAACTAAGTACAGTCAACCGAGGGTCGGAGACTTGCATCCCCCCTTGCCCCCCGCCCCATGTTTTCAGCTTGAATTTTTCATTTGTGGAGCTATTTTACTTATGAACTGTATGAAATTCTTTTGACTGGGTTATCTTAGAAAATATAGAACACATTATTTCTTCATGAAGCTTATAAACTCATGGGTCTGCCAACTTTTTCATTATTAAGCCTCGCCATCCACCAGTCTTGTCTACTCAAATGAAAAGTGTCCATGGGCAGTGAATATGAAGGTGGGAGTTACAAACTAGGGCCACTGTATATAAAGTTTTAAAAATAAAAAGTTTTTATTACAGTTTCACATTTCTTTTGTTTTTCTACAGTCATTACATGAGACAGATACTAGAAGCTCTACGCTATTGTCATGATAATAACATAATTCACAGGGATGTGAAGGTAAGTCATTTTTATCACTAATTTTAATGTTTATGAAGAGAAACTGATGACACGGATAATGATCAGAAGTTTTTCTTTAATGTTCTTATAGAGAGCATCTTAAGGTTAACTTTACTTCCAAATAAACATTTATTTAACTACTTTATATTTGAAGAGTCATACTCATTCTTAACAGGAACACTTTTATCATTTCAGTTTCCTTATTAAAATGTACATGTATTCTGAAATTCTTTTATTCCTCTTTTGCCATTATGTGTGTAAGAGAGAAATGAAAAAATCCGACAAATAGGAAGAACCAAACAATATCCTAAGTTAATTGTGGGAGAGGGTTGGTTTATATTGGTTATTTGGTTTATATAGTAAAAGTTCGTCATATACTTATATTTTCGTAGTGTTGCAATACAGAATAAATAGTCACCATTTTTTTGCACATAGTTTTTTTAACATAGTCTGAAATCATAATTAAAAACGTAATACAGTTTTGCACCCTTAGGAATGTACATATTACTATTATTCAGTCTTTCTGCCTATTTGCTCCCAGTATCAAGTTCATGAGAACTGTCAGTCCCTGGCTCATAATGGTGTCAGCCAGAACATGGAGGTAGGCCAGAAAGTAAACCAGTGGGCCTTCCTCCTGATGCCCAGCCCCTTCCAAGGCCCCGAATCGCTAAGAGCCCCTGAGGTCTCTTTAGCCCTAGTGTCCACTTTCTCTCTCTGGTATTTTGTTACTGGCCTCTCTCTAACACACAGCATCTACAGACATGGGGCTCTCCTTCCCTCAAAACATACTCTCAGTGGCCTGGCTTCTTCACTGTATTTTAATGGTTAAGAAGATGAAGTAGAGTTTAGTTAAATTGTCTAAAACGTTGGGGAAATTTTAACTAAAATTCTTGTGGTTATAAGCTGAGATAAAGCATGAGCAATTCCAAAACAGTCTAGTGGAATGTTACCATAGCAAATGAAAAAAATCATTGGAGAAACATACACAATACACATTAGTTGTAAAATATCTTACTCTTTTCACATGTGCTGATAGGAAAAGGAAATTATTATTATCAATACTCAGCACTGAACAACCCATTGGATACATTAACACTTTTTTATAAAAGTATTTTTCAGTTATGCAAACAAAGAGAATAAGAAGTGTAAGAAAAATTAAAGGGAAATTGTCAATGATAGCAGGCTGTGTTACTCTTCTGCATTTAATTAATTTAAGAAAATGCATATATAAAGTGTAAAGTATATCTCCTTGTATATGTTATAAAATAGATGAGAAAAATGACATTTTGAAAACTTAAAATATATAAACAGATTCTTAGTTCATATAATAGCACTGCGTTAGAAACACTTTTGCTCAAGAGGCAATTTTATTTTGAATTCTGTTCTTTAAGAGTAATTATATCAATATCATATAATACATAATGATTGACAACATACTGTACTATAATACTTTCAATAATACAGTCAGCTTTTGATTAGTCATGGTATTTGATATGATAATCCCAAACCAAATAAAATCACAAAGTAGTTATATTTGAATGTCATGCTTCAGCTTCTCATTTACCTTCTGATTGATTTATTCAACAAATATTCGAGTGCCTACTTCATGCAGAATGTTGTGCTTGGAGCCCTACAGGTATTATGATGGTGTCAGTAGGGGGATGAGGCAGTGTATCTGTTACCGACGGCTGCGGATCAACACACAGCTAAACTTGGTGACTCCAAACAGCAACTGCCGTTTATTTGCTCACAGTTCTGTAGTTTTGGGCAAAGCTTGATGGGGATTGCTTGATTCTGTTTGACAGACTATGGGCTGAGGCAGCATGGCTAGCACCCACATAGGCTTCCCTCTTGTGGCATGTCTGCTGAAGTGACCAGAACAGCTAGGAGCTTTCTGGGCCCTCTCTGTAGTCTCTCATTCAGGGTGTTCCTCCCTCCCTCCTTCTTCCCTCTCTCTCTGTCTTCGTGGGGCCGCCTCTCCAGCAGGACGGTGTCTCAGGGCTCCAAACAAGCAAAGGTGGAAGTTGCCAGGCCTCTTGAAGCCTAGGCCAGAAGTTGACACTGTCATGTTCTCTGCATTATGTTAGTCAACAGGTTACAAGACTAGCCTGGATTCAAGAGGTGGAAAGATAGATTGTGCCTTCTCGTTGGAGGTGTGTGTGACATATGTGCACAAGGATAAGAACTTGTCTGTGGCCGTCTTTACAGACAAGCAAAACAAATAATTCTTGTCCAAGGTAGAGGGTGGGAAATAGCATTAAAAGACCGAGCCAGAGAAACTTTATGGAGGTCATGTCTGAGCCTGGTCTTGAGTCATGGGGAAGTTACATGAAGACAAGAGGGCATTTCAAGGAAAGGCTCAAAATTAGTTTTGCATTGGATTTTATTAGTTTCTTATCCCTAAGGCACATACCAAATAATTTTGAGGAAACACCCAGAAATGTGTTGAGGAAGGGAAGATAGAAGTAATTCTCAAACTGCAGGTAAGAAGAAACGTCCCGACGAAGTACCATCACCCAGTTGGCAAGTGGACTCAACACAGAGCACACATTAATGTTTAACATTCGTTATATTTCAGTGCCTGAAATCTGTATGTTTTGTATGGGTAAATGGAATACTCACATTTAGCTAATCAGTAATTTTGATTTTGGGTAGATTTTTCTTAAGACATTCATCCAAAACTATGCATCGAGTGCTTCCTGTGTGGGGGGCACTATTTTAAGAACCAGAGCTCTGTCAATGAACAAAACAGACAGAATCACTGCCCCCATGGAGCAAACTGACTTTCTAGTTCAGGGAGACCAGCCCTAACCAAGAGCATAAATAAGTCAACTATATAGTAGGATAGGAGGTGAAAGGGACTGCAGGTGAAACAGAGCGGCCTACGGGATAGGGACTGCTTAGAGAAGGGGTTGCAGTTTTAAGCAGGGTGGTCAGAGCAGGCCACATTCAGAAGATGACACCTGAGCAAGGACTCACAGGAGGAGAGAAGGTGGGCTGACTGATATCCAAAGGAAGAGCGTTCCAGGTAAAAGGAACAGCCGGTGCAAAGGCACTAAAGCAGGAGCATAACAGACCTATTTGCAGAATAACAAGGAGGCCAGTGTTCCTGGGGTGAATTGAGCCATGAGGAGAGTAGATAGATAGATGAGGTTAGAGAGGAAAGGAGGGGAGGGCCTTTGACTTCTACTCTGAGAGAAATGAGGATTCCCTGGAGGGTTTTGAACAGACTGTGAACCAGGGGCTCACAGGTGGAAGCAGGGAAACAGGAGATGGTCCTGCCTGGCTGGACTTAGAGTGGTAGCAGTGGAGGGAGTAAAACCGTAGATTCCAGATATATTCTGAAGGTTATGTCAACAGGATTTGCTAATATAACTTTAGTAACTCAGGTAACCCCAAGTTGTTTTATTCAGGACCTTGTCACAGGAGTTCTCCAACGTTGTGGTCATTATAAAACTTTAATGACGGTACATCTCACATGGCTAATAATTTCAAATTTCTATTTGACATGTTGTTAATGTTTGCTAATAAAGCAGCCTTTTAGCTTTTCTTCATGTTCAGATAACCTATGTTCAGTGACTGGCCTGCGTGTAGATTTCTGTATAGGTTTTGGTTTCTGTAGTTTGTTTTTGTCAAAGTTTTCTTCCTTTTCACTTAAAGAAAATACAAGAGCATTGCCCTGTTTTATTCATTTTAGAAGAATTTAGATTACTTAATCATCTGTTTCATCTTGCCAAGAATATTCTCATATTCTCTCCCTTTCTTTCTCTCTCAGAATCCTTGGCACCGATCCCAAAGCATTAGATTTTTCCAAAGATCCTGGCATTTTATTGATTAGTAATACTTTTTTCTTAACCTGATAGGCATTTCTTTTTGAAATCATTATAATTGAGTCTAAAAATGTTTGGTTTGAGTATATGGTACCTCATGACCTGCAGTGGGAACTTGCTTTGAAGAAGCATAAATTGCATAAGAGGCAATTGTGTAAACCTTTGAAATTCAGGGAAGCATATCTTCATTAGTACAGGTTTCTCCCAACTCCAAAATGTCCCACACTAGCGACATTTTGGGTCAGGTACTTTGTTGTGGGAGGCTGGCCTGTGTATTATTGCCTCAACTCAGTGCATATCAGTAGTATTTCCCCCTAGCTGTGACAATCAAATGTCTCCAGTCATTGCCAAATGTCCCCGGGGGCACAAAAGTCGCCCCTGGTTAAGACCCACTGTAGAATACTACATTTTTCCCACTGCACCTCCCCACAGGCATTAATTAAGGCATGCATGCTCATTTCTTCCCCCCCCCTTCCCTTTTATTCCTTTTTCTTGTGAGAGGATGTGAAAACTTTCATTATGTTTCACATCATTCTCTTTTCTTCCTCTCGCCCTGAAATTAAAAGAACTCTAGAAAGAAATAGTACATTTGCCAAGGTAAATGCAGAGCCTGGCTCATTGCCTGCCTTCATTGGCGCTATTAAGCATTAAGAGTCAGTGGGTTTTTCTTGTCTCCCCCAACTCCTGGAGACAGCTTTACATTGCATCACCTGGGCGTGGAGAGACGAAGCATTCTTAGACCTTTCTGTGGCTCTGACCTACTGACATCCAATTTTAATAGCTGAAGTTGAAGTTACACCGCTTCTCTAAATGCAAATGGCCATGCGCACAGTCACTTTCTGTTCCGAGTGGGACCTGTGCCCAGGAGGTTTGGGGGCTCGGGCTCGGTGTTTAGTTCTCAGAACTGTGTAAAACCCCATAGCCAGACAGTCATAGACACTCAGCCAGAAGCCTCCACCCAAGCATTTCTGCATGCGCTTCCTTGAAATGGTTTTCCTCCTAACTGGTGAACACGCCTGGCTGCTCTTTGGCCCCCTTCTGTTCTCAGTTCCCCTTTCACCTGACTTTATAAACAGGTGTTCATCACATCACACTAGTTGCCATGGCATTATGGATTTCGTACAGTATTTCTTCCCCTATTGCTCTTGGTTGCTGACATTTCTTCTACGTCTCTTACCCCAACTTCCAAGAAGTCCCTCATGTTGTACAAAGAAATTGAAATTCTCATGAAAATGAAAACACTTTTTTTTATTCTTTATTATAAGGCACACTGATTCATCTTCTGCATTACTTTTGCAAGGTTGAACATAATGCACATGTTCAGCTTGAATGTGGGGTTTTAATAATTGTACTTAGAAAAATCTCATGAATTATAAGATCTTAAATTTATCTTGTGTTTCTAACTGCTATGCTTCTCTTCTCCCACCCCACCCTTCCAAAAAAATCAACTCCTTGATTTAGAGAGGAAAGAATGAGGGGCGCCGGGCTGGCTCAGGGGAGCATGCAGCTCTTGATCTTGGGGTCATGAGTTCAAGCCCCATGTTGGGAGTAGAGATTACTTTAAAAAAAAAAAATAGGAATGCCTGTGTCTTTTGCTTATTAGATGTGAATTCTTTCGCTGATGCTCTCCTTCTGAGCCAGGGCAGCAAACATGTATGATAATGGCCAAAGCATTTTCTCCTGTCAGGCATAAAACCTTTCTAGCTGTCGTAACTCTTCCCACCGATATCAATTCAGTTTGAATTTGGGGGCAGTCAGAGGAAGGTCCATGGCATTAGACTGCAGGGTTGAAATGCTTAGCAAATTACCAGCATCCCTCTGTGCTGCTTTTGTGGTTTGCTGAGCCAGATTTCCTTTCAGCTTGTCTTCCCACATTTGTTCCCAACAACCCCCACCCTGCAGCCTGCAAGGCCAGGGATAGGCTGGGAGAGTCCTTACCAAATAAAGGAGATTGACATCTTCCTCTTCCACCCAGGAAGTAGAAGCTCTTCCAGCTTGAGTAGTCTAACCGTAAGTGTGCTTGTCTAGTCTCAATGGTTGTGTTCCTAATTAGTAGTTTGAAAGCCACCTTAATGAGAGTGTGTATATGGAAAGGAGAAAAGGGAAAACAAACATTTGTCGTGCCTCTTTTCTGTACGGAAGATATAATCTTGTTTGTTGGCCAACGAGCCAAAATTTGGGGCTTCTGGAATTGTGTTTGACTGTAACCCACGCATTAAAAACATTGTTTTTCTCAAGTGGTTACCAGAGGGCAGGGGAGCGAGGGAATGGGTGAAATAGGTGAAGGGGGTTAAAAGGTACAAACTTCCAGTTATAAAATAAACTAGTCATGGAGATGAAAAGTACAACATAGGGAATACAGCCAATAATATTGTAGTAACGTTGTGTGGTCACAGATGGTGGCTACACTTACCGTGATGAGCACTGAATAATGTATAGAATTGTCAAATCACTATGCTGTGCACCTGAAGCTAATCTAACATATAACATGACATCGTATGCCAACTATTATAATAAAAATTTTTTGAGCACAGTTTTGCTGAAATCTACATTTTATAAAGGTAATTTAGAAAGTAGTATTTCATATAAAATATTTACCGTGATATTAAGTGGCCACTTTGTCAATTACACAAAAAAGTTCAACATGATTTACAATTACCTGTTCAGGAAAGTGCCTGTGGTGTGAAGGTAAACACAGTGATAATAAGCTCAGGACAGAATTAAAATGGGAGTTTTCTGTCAGAATGAGTAACTTAAAGAGAAATTGCATACCTCTTTTCCTGCCTTTTTTAAATGTAGGAAACTCTACTTTGATAATACTTTATATCTTTTACTTAAAGTTGTGGCAAGGTGAAGTGATGTTTTTAATAATGATTTTTAGAGGATGTATATATATATATATATGTTATATAGTGAGATTTAATACTGTATCACTTACGTAAAATGAAAGCAGTGATTGGACACCTCTGTTTATAGCCAGCACTTAGGGAATCACCTAGAGTTCCCAGGTCTGCCTTTGTGTCGGCAAATTAATCCGCCAGAGATCAAATCGCTGCTATGAAAGAATAGATGTACACTGTAAACATTTGAAGCCAGTGTGCATTTTCTTCAGACTTTTTTCTGAACATTTTCTTCTCTCATTTAAGCATTGAACTATTCTTTTTTAATGAAAATTATGCAGATGTGTTAGAAAAACCTCTAGTGGCATTGAACACATGGCTCTTGGGGAATCTGTACAAGTGTGTTGTTTCTACATTTTTAATTTAGGAACAAAACATGCTGTGAGATTAAAGCCTTGGAAGTGCTATGTGAACTTACTTTAAACTTCTTTCCGAGCATCGAAAAAATGACCACGAAGAGAATAAATGAGTCTTTGGGCAGTCTCTAATGAAGTAACAGGTTACCATTAACATTTATTCAGCTTCAGTTTCATTTAACTGTTTTTGTCTGGTTCTTATCTGAGCAGAGAATGCAAGTGCTATGGGTGTAGAAATTGAAAGCAAACTACTGCTCAAAAGGCGCTTATGATCTTTTTGGGAAAATAAAACACAAAAAAAATTTTTTTAATTAGACTGTATATAGCACAGAGTATAGTCCCCATCATTTATCTTCCTGACAAGACTACATGAAAGAAAGAAATGACCGAGAAATGCTTACTGTTTAAATATTTATTTAGGTATTGGAGAAAATTGGGGTGACTTAGCTATGCACTTCAGTTTTTTCATCAGCAAATTGGCATGCTTTATGGTGGTGATGATTAAAATACATGCAAAGCATATGAGCAGAGTGCCTGGCACATAACAATGCTTAGTGAATGACAGCTACTCAGAATAGTAACATCATCTGACTTAATAATAGTAGCTATGAACTACGTAGCATTTTTCCATTCTACAAATGATGAAATTAACGCTTTAAGAGGGTAAGTAATTTACTGAGGATTGTCTGGCTAAATAAGAGGTTTAGCTAGGATCGAACCCAGGGAATCTAACTCCAGAGACCAGTCTCTCAACAAAAATACTATTATACTGCCCTTATTATTCATTCATCTGTTTTCACAAAAATTAATTGAACATATCTACATGCCAGGTACTGTTTGTCATTAATCACATTATTTATATTGAGTACAGAGGGAAGTTTACAAGATGTGGTGAAGATAGGCATATAATGACATTGTATTTGCTCTTTATTTTGACCAAGCCTAACCCGAATATTTAAATATATTTATAAAAACACCAACTTAATAAATACCGGACTCAACGAATATTACTTCTTGAAGTAACATAAGCAGATGATACAAGATAATGCGTTTATAAAACCTTGGATTTTTGCACTCTATTATTCATACATCTAGATAGGACTTAAGCGAGATAATTTCTGATTCACTTTTTTCTTTTACTCGTTTTTAAAGTTACCAACAGAACACTAGCCATAGATGGGCCCTTATATTGCACCTACTAGAAAGCAGAAAAGTCATAAACCATTTGCTGCTTTATCCTACAGTCATGACCTGTTGTGTTCTAAATAAAAGCATACACAGTTGAGTTTAAAGAGAAGATGGTCTGTTGCTTTCATATGCAGTGAGATCCCTTTTAACATGCTTGACTTGCCTCTGAGAGTCTCTGCCATCTCAACTTGCAGTATTAGTAGAGCTATAAAGTGAATTTTATGATTATTTCTAAAACCAAAGAGGTTTTCTTTCAAGCTTTCAAGCAAGTTGTGACCCGTTAATCATGTAGTTCAGTATCCCTAGTAGCCATATAAACACTTTTCTATTTGGTGGTGTTTTCTATTCAGAAGTCAACTATAGGCTTGTATATGTGGGGAATCAGATTTTGTAAAGAGATTATATAGTGTCTTTTTGAACGTTTTATCTAAAAAAAGAAATATAATGGGGTCTGTGCTACTTCTGGCTGATGCAAGACAGGTGAGGACATTTTTAATTTCAATTAAATAATTCAGTTGCTGACAGTTACCACTTTGGTGTAGAACATAAAAAATGGGTTTAAAAATGCTATATGGAAGGAAGCAAACTATTAGTAGAACCTGGATGACCAAAAGATGCCTTTTCACAGAACTGTAAATCAGATCTTTCTCCGTAATGGATGTACAGGTCCTTATTTTTCTCAGATGGCTAACAAAAGAGTAGTATGATGTTAGTACAACTAAAAATGAAAATCCAATAAATGTGGTTCCAATGAGGCCTGCAGTCTGCGAGGTCACGGCTCCTAGTTCCGTCTGCTGGTTATAGCACACGTTCTCGTCTCCTTCTGTAGCTTCTACAACTGAGTAATATATGATAACCGGAATAATTATGCCTAGTACAACTCCCCATATGTAAACACACAGTTTTCTAGCAAAGTTGGGCTGGCGAAATTTTTTCAGTAAGTGGCCATAAAATACTTTCTCGTAGCACGAAGTGGTCTCTTGTACTGAATCCTTTTTCATTAAAGTAGCATAACGGCTTATGGCAATCCAACTTAAAATTAAGAGGCTGACAAACATACTTACATGCATGGATAGGGTTCCCAAAAAATTGACCACCGTGCATTGTGCAGATCGATATTCCCATTGAACACCTTTCAGGAAATAGATACCCATGAAAGGCATGGCACTGCACACAAGTAAGTTTGCTGTCACAAGATGTGCTAGGTAGATGTGCGTTGATGTTTTCTTGCCTATTTTTGTTAAAAATACCCATTGAGAGAGAGAATTTCCAAAGAGACCAATGATGCAAAGGAAGGCATAAATGATTGGCAAAGCCATGGAAGAGATCCTGGATGGTTGAATACATGTTGAGTTGTTACTCATTTATATCAGATTTTCTTGGAATTTTGTCTCAGGAGCTAGAACAGAATGGCAGATATTTAATATTAAAATTATAGATGGTATTTAGACTGAATAGTTTTTTAAAAGCATTGGATGAAATAAAAGTAATGTAAATGTATTTGAAGGGAGAGGGAGAGTATAGATGCTCTCTCACCTTTTCTAATCACAGTCGTCCAGTGGAAATAAAAGACTTGATTGTGAGTAGTATCTTTGTCTAAAAAACCAGATTTGATACAAATAGTTAAAGGCCTGAGGTTTATCATTCTTTGATTGGTTTTTTTGCCTAGAAAGGTAATAAAAATATTTTAAGGCACATGCAAGCAATACATATTGGCCAAAGGAAAGTGTTGGCATAAGTATTTTGTGGCCACCTTAATAGAAGACTAATTTAAATTATCACCTTAATTGTACATAAACTGTACATAAATACTTTTCAAAATGGTGTCTTTTCATGATGAGGTTAAAGCACCTCTCTATAATCTAGTACCATTAGAATAGTCTCATTTTGTATTTCAGAAGTAAACTTAATCCTATACAAACACTCAGACAAGATCCTGAATCGAACAGAAGGCAAGTATAGTGACCAAGGATAGACACCAAAATCCCAAGATCTTTACCAAAAGGCATCAGTAATTTCCTATTTCAAATATTTAATGTTAAACTACCATACTTCAATTTTTTTAAAACGTTTACTTTAAAATTCTATGTCAAAACTGTAGTTCCTATGCTTGTTGGTTAGAGTGCCCTCATGTGTCTTTTTGTATAATTTTAGTACCTTGGTTTTTCAGAGAATATGATTTTTTAGAAGATATTTTAATCACAGCATAAATGCAGGCATGGTTTTTGCTTTTTTATGTCTTATTTTTGTTTTTAAGTTTATTTTTTTGTAGTAATCTCTACACCCAACATGAGGCTCGAACTTAGGACTCTGAGATCAAGCATCACATGTTCTTCCAGCTGAGTCAGCCAGGCGCCCCTATGTCATATTTTTAAATCTTTCCTTTTCTTTTTATTTTTAATCTTTCTTTCATCAGATGGTACAAGTGTTGAAGAGTCACATACAAACTCTTTTTCATTATTTTGTTCATTCCTTATTTCTTTCAGGTGGGAATAACAAGTTATTGGATTCTGGTCAAGTAAGAATCATGAGCTCTATTCAGAATGTGCCACATTTCTCTGTGTTTATCACCATAGCTTTCTAGGTACCACATTCTCGTTTATAAAAATCTAGAGTGGGGATTCTTTAAATCTTTTTTTAAATCACATTCTTTCTTTTGATAAACACAAAAATGTTGCTGTGCATCTGCCTTCTGAGATGCCATACACTGCCTTCTTATATGCCCCCAGCCCCTCAGAGCTGTTTCACTCTCTACCCCTCTTCACAGTCGCCATTTTAAGTTTTGCATCATGGATTACAGAAATAGGGAGGATTTTTTTCCAAATACACTGTTAAAGTTTTTAAATAATTTTTTAAACCAAGCAATCCCCACACAATGACTTTGAAAGCTTGAGGGCTGTACAATGTCTCTAGGTTCCAATACAGAGACCCTTCACTAATGTCTACCAGTGTCTATCATTTTATTTCTTTGCAGTTTTTATTTAGAAAACCGTCCAGATGCTTCAGAGAGAGTTTGTGTCTGAATCCAGTGCAGCCCAGCAAATTGGAATCTGGTTGCAGTTAGTGTACTACCAGTTGTAAATATGTAAATCCTAATCTGTACCTTGACTGATTTAAAAACCAGTCAGAGAGTGAAATAAGCCAGTTTATTTCCCACAAAAAATTTATTCAATCCAAGTAGATTTTTATATAAGAAATGGAGCTTCTGGAGTGCCTTTGTGGCTCAATCCATTAAGCATCTGCCTTCAGCTCAGATCATGATCCCAGGGTCCTGGGATCGAGCCCCACGTCGGGCTGCCTGCTCAATGGGGAGCCTGCTTCTTCCTCTCCCTCTGCCCCTGCTTGTGCTCTCTCTCTCTCACTCTCAAAGAAATAAATAAAATCTTTAAAAAAAAAAAAAAAAGAAATGGAGCTTCCTTTTATGGTGCTAGTAAAGAAAAACACTACCCCTGCCTTGTGTAGATAATGCATTATATACTAAAATCTGAAAAGCTAATAGTGCTTCTGTATTCACAGATTGTATTCCCCTAGTTTCAAACTAGCCCACCTCAGACAGCATCTGCCATCACCTATTACTGTCGCCTTGCTTTGCTATTTCACACTAGCAAATGCTTCCAAACAAAAAGGAGGGAGAAAGTGATGATCAGTTTTCAAAATTTAAACATTTTAGTCCTGTTAGAGTTTTTATAGGGTTAACTTTTAAGCTAAAAGTAAGTGATCAGTCTTACCTGTGCAAGTAGTTTACACCAATCAAGGCTCTGTTGTTCAGGGCAGGGATGCTAAATTTCAGACTTAAAATTCTCCGACCATCCAGTATCTTTCAATTCTAGTCAGTGTGACCATGACACCAACTACAGTGGGGGGAAAAAGGAAATTAAACAGAGTATTGAAGAAATTCAATAGTTATGGTAAATGTAGCAACTACCTCTAAAAAACCTCATTTCTCTATTTCTGTGGTGGGAGGAAGTTGGTGGACAATATATATATATTGTACTTCCTTATGATTATTTCATGAACCAGCTCTACCTCAGTAGCTTTATATTAGCATGATTGGCTGAAGTTGAGTTCAAAGGTTTAGTCCCCATAGCTGGTTTTATACATCACAGTGGTAGAGGGAACAACTTCATAGTCACCCAAGAAAATATTGGTACAAACTTGTCTGTAAAATCACTTGTGGATGGTTTATTTGCAGTTCATCTTTATCAAGAATAAAAGGAAACAAAACCCAAAGTTTTCTTACCAGTAACAACTTACTAGAATTAGATACCATAGAGCTGGAATAGAACTTCATGATCATCTATGGGTACAGACCCTTCGTTTTAAGGATAAAGGAGTGAGTGAGACCCAGGGTGCCTGGGGGGCTCAGTTGTTAAGCATCTGCCTTCAGTTCAGGTCATGATCTCAGGGTCCTGGGATCGAGTCCCACATCAGGCTCCATGCTCAGTGGGGAGTCTGCTTCTTCCTCTGCCCCTCCCACCCACTAGTGTTCCCCCCCCAGCAAAAATAAATAAGTAAAATCTTTAAAAAACAAAACAAAACAAGAAGTGAGACCCAGAGCAGCACACTGTAAGTCAGGGGTTTAGGTCCCAACTTGGTTACTAAGTGAACTAACCCATTCTACTTCCAACTGCCCTGTGAGTCCCCCATTCAGATTCAAAGTAGTGTACATTGTTTGGAGCATTTCATAATGGATTTGGAGAATCCTGAAAAGTGCCAGAATCTGAAGACCAAATATTCCTCGGATAAAATGAATAGTTACATCATGCTATAAAGAATCCAGTTTTATATATAAGATTGTTTAATGAGTCTGAACTGGTAACTAAGTGAAAGCTCAGTGTACAGCTGAGGAGCCAGACTTGTGTCACATGCTACCCTCCCTTGTGTAGTGAAACCACCGGGAGGGGGGTGTCTGAGAATGGGAACAGAAATCTAATTTCATCAAACTTGAGCACTTCAGTTATTAGTAAATCTTCATTTAAGATTAATAGGAGGACCTTGCCATTTCTCATAATCCCCAGTGTGTACCTTCTTTCATGTTGATTGCATAAATCCTCCCTAATGTTTGCTAATTGTTCTCTCTAAAACAAAAGTGAGAACTACCTGAGTGGATTTTGTTCTGCTGCTGTTCATCTTTGTAACGCTTGCCATCATTTCATTAAGAACAGTGACTCGTCTGGGGTTATATGGCCATGGATTGCAGAGTAATTTGGCCTCTCTGGAACTCCTCTATCATTTTTACTTCAGTAATTTCGCATGTCCCAGGAAGGAATTACTTAGAACAAAAAAACGGTTTGAATTAATTTAGAGAAGAATGGAAATGGAATACTGTTTATAAGTGATTGAGAGATCATTTTAATATTACCACTTTGAGGCTTAAGCACCTTTAGCCAAAAAAAAAAAAAGAGAGAGAATGCCCTTGCCCTCCACTACTTTTCCTCCATTGTCCCCAGACTCAGTAAATGATACTATCACCTCCTCATTATTCAAGCCAAAAACCTAGGAATTATCCTTGATTCCTCTGTTTCCTTCACATCTCACATCCAGTCAATTCCTGCAGCTTCTCCCACCACCACCAGTAGTACCCACACTTAATGAAAGCTTATTATGTGCCAGGCATCCTGGTCTGTGTTTTATATGTCTTACTTCATCTTCACAATACCCTGTGAAATAAATAGTATGAAATATATTCAATTTAAACGTTAAGGAGAACAACCTCAGAAAGGTCACTTAAGTTGCCTAAGATCATGCAGCCATCTGTCCTCACAACATGGTGACTCGCTTACACACACACACACACACACACACACACACACACAGAGAGAGAGAGAGAGAGAGAGAGAGCGCAAGTGATTCAAGAAAAAAAGACCATAGCTGCAGTCTTTTTTTTAATGTAGCTTCTGAAGTCAGCACTGTCACTTCTGCTGTGACATTATCTTGGCCACACGGAGCCAGCAGTGATTCAGTATGAAGAGGTAAATAGCAGGAGGTGATGATCACTGGGAGCCATCTAAGAAGCTGGCTACCACAGGATGTCAGTCAACCATTGGACCAGGGAAGAGTCAAAAGTACTTCTGAAAATGATTGTCAGGCAGCTGATCATTTATCGAGCAAGAATGCCTGGATGGGTGTACGTTTTGTCATATCTTCCTGTCTCTTGATTTTTAGTGCTCTGTATTAAACGGTGCAATTCATTTAATGAATATTTATTGGAGTTCCTACTATGTTTCTAGTGGTGTGTGGAAGTCACAGAAGTATATTAGCCACAAGCTAACATAGGGTCTCCGGAAATTCAAAAGCGATTCCACAAGCAAGCCGAGAATTCAGATTAATAATGTGTGATGTGTGATACAGACTTTAAATGCTCTACAAATTAGAAAAAGGAGAAAACCATGAATCATAATGGTTCTGGAAGGTCAAGGAACTAGAAGGAAAGAGAACACATGCTAAGCTATAGTTCTGTGCTAGGTAGGAACTGGGCAGGGCATTTTACATATAAGAACTCTAACAGTGGGTGGTAGAGGTTCCATTTCACATGTGAGGAAATTCAGTTTCAAAGAGGTTAAATAACATGCCCAAGGCAACACAACTAGTAAATTAACTTGAAAGCATGTGTATTTATTTTTTTCAGTCTCATTCTCTGCCTTTGAAAGCAGAAATTATTGGCCTTTCTCAAGGGTCAGTTAGTTGTACCTGGTGGTACTTATGGTAAGTAAACCGGGGTCCAGTTTTGAATACTTTTTACTTTGTTCAAACAGGGCTTCCCGTCCTGTGCTCTGATGTAGCAGAATTGACTATGGGAGGAATCAAGTCCAATTTTCTAGTTTTTGAAAGCTTTGGACTTTAAGCTAAGTTGTATCCCATCGATAGCAATATAAATTCTTTTTGATTGAGGCGATTTTTGAATTCCTTAACTGAAATAAAAGGAATTTTCTAATTTATATTTTTCTAAGAAATACTACAACTGGTAGAAAAGCGTAAATGTCAGAGCATACAAAATTAACCAAAATACAACTTGTCAGGTAGACATATTGAAGATTACAAGTGCTGTGTACAAGTGGCCCCTTGGACTTTTCCTCACTCAGGCCACCGGTAGTTCTCTTTGGTTTCTCATTTGTCTTTCCCATCCATGCCCTCTTCAAAGTTGCGCTTCTGTTATCCAAGTGCGAATCCTCTTGTCCAACACTTCTAATTCCTTGCTACATCATCTGCCAAGTACTGATCCCCTGGGTGTTCTGCTCTGACCCTTATGATTTATTTCTTGAGGTGTTAGAGTAGTTCCCCCCCCCAAAAAAAATTTAAGCCCTGCCTTGTATTAAGTTTCCTGCTTTCGAGATATTTGTGTGAGTGTCAAGCGAATGTTTCACTCTGGCCCCAGAACCCATTTGGAGTCGTTCAGTAAGAATGGTTCAGAGGGCAGGCATGTGGTGATTTATTTTGACAGCCTATGGGGAGCTGTATACAGCAAGGGTGTACGAGACTTTTCCTGACTCGCAGGGATTATAGAGGTCAGAATTAGGGTCCCTTATCAATTTCCATCAGAGCCAGAACCCAGAGGACACAAGACACATCACTCATGCCTGAACTTTATTGCTTCAACTAGACAGTTATTTTAGGCTGGTGTCTAAGCTGGCTGCAGTTAGCCTTTTTGAGTACTCTTTCTGACCAGTCAGCAGTTCAGGGCATCGGGAGGCTGGTGTGCAGAAAGAGCAGATTGGCCTCACATAGTCTGTTAGAACATCACATTCGAAAGATAAGTGGTTCTCCAAAGGAGCAGGGTTGGGGGGGTGGGAGGCAGTGGAAGCCTTTTATCCAGTTCAGTGCACACCCAAGGCAGTGGTTACCTTTAGGAGGAGTGAAACACAGACCTTATACTCAAAGCTGTGGGTTGTTCAAGGCTCACTGAGCCCCCTGCTCCCTTCAGGATGTGGTGTCTGGCCACAGCCCCATCTCCACTGCACGGCTCGCAGGTCCTTGCTGCTACTGTGAGTAGCAGTACTTACGGCCGTCCCACCCTTAATCAGGGTCTCAAGAACTTCTACTTTGAAGAGCTGATTTCTCAGCAAATCATGGAAGTATCTCCCTCAAGAACTATTTTTAAAACAGCAGAAATTACAGTCCAGAGTTTGAAGGTTTATAATCGTGCAGAAAAGTGATTAGCTTTGTAAGGAAGGTCCAGTGACAAAACATAAAGGGACCTACTAATCGAAGTTTCATTATACTTCACCTTGGGCTTTGTCTTTTTATATAGGTTTCTGTGCACCAGATAGACATGGTCTTCTAGAATTGCACACCCCAATAACACTGTAGCAGTCTCAGCGGCGGTCGTAAGAACTGGAATGCCCTCTGAGGCGGCAGAGGGAAGTAGATGGGAAATTAGGTTTGGGAAAGGGAAGAAACTTCAGCATTGGATTAGATGAGGCAGAAATCTTTTTGAGGACAGTCAGATTTTGAATTTCAACATCTTTGAGTCAGTTAAGTTTAATTCATATCCTGCTTCAGAACCTACCATTCTTTTTTTTTTTTTTTAAGGTTCTTTGAGGGGTGCCTGGGTGACTCAGTTAAGCGTCTGCCTTCGGCTCAGGTCATGATCTCAGGATCCTGGGATAGAGCCCCACATCGGGCTCCTGACTCAGTGGGGAGCCTGCTTCTCCCACTCTCTCTCAAATAAAGCTTTTTTTTTTTTAAGGTTCTTTGAAAAGCCAAAAGTAGATAGAAAATTTTCTGAAAATGAAACATTTGATGATAGAATTCTAAAAATAATTTAGGCCATCATATTGCCCCAGGTAGAAGATACATCCCTACACCTCTGCCCTGGGAAACAACACCTCAGATTGCAGTGAGATTTGGGGAACCGAAAAGGTATCCCACATCAGTTCCCTGGAACTCTCACCACTGTCCCTTTCTTCCCAAGCCCAA